ACAGTTCTGCGATTTTCACATTGAAATTTATCATTAGGCATCCAAATTTCGGGTAATTTTAAATATAAAAGCAGATCAGAATTCTCTCGGGAACAAGGCCTTCTTTTACACTTCTCAGATCTCTTATGTTTTCACAAAGTAATTTCACACAAATTAAGTAAGGTTTATGCCATGCATATCGAGCACCTCGAAACCTGAAAATCTCACGATGGAAGGTGAGAATGAAAAAGTTCATATGATGATATTCGAATGCTAATTGGACTTGGCATAATACTTAATGGGTTTCGGAGATTTTTTTCAGAAACTCAAGGGTTTTCGGAACATTCGGAAATCTTAAAGGATTCAGAGTTACGTTCGGAAACTTTGCTGAATTTCTAGGGAACGCTTCTACCGTTTCTGATGTTCGGAAACTTTGCTGAATTTCTAGGGAACGCTTCTACCGTTTCTGATGTTCGGAAACTTTGCTGAATTTCNTCTTTTATAGAAGGAAATTGGAGCAGAAATAAATATTTTTGAAATTTATCGGTGAATATTGATTTTGTACGAATACAATAACATATCACAAACGATATAGTATAAATATTATAGTAGATACTTCAAATAACAGGTGTTCCGTTCAGGACGAATATATAAAATGTGATAACAGATTTCTAATACCGGATTATATATATAAATTTTTAAAAATTACATTTTAGTTCGTGACTCTTTTGAAATAGTTGTTTGGAAATAAGAAAAGCAATAAAAATTATTTTGTAATATAACGTTTAGTTAAACTAACAAAAAAAAATGGAATTTCTATGATTTTTTACTTTTTATAAAATATTTCTCACCTCACGGTGACAATCAAATATCGAATATTTTTCTTACTATCATTCTCGTTTCTCAAGCATTGCCAAAGATATATAAAATGCGCAATCATTATTTATTAATTAATTAATGTAAAAGAAGCGCGAGCAGCATACGCATTTAAAAGCTGAATTTTCCATGGAATTATTTTTTATTGCTATTACAATTTTCAAACTCTTAAAAATAAAACAATTCGATTCACTTTGTATTCAATTCATGTGAGTTTTATGATTATTTACTTTTCTTAGATTCATGATCACATTCTCTGCATAAGTATTTCTTGCATTTCGGTGAAGAAAGAAAAAACTATAGATATTCGAGTTTCATCTTAAATATCAGAAATAGGTTATTAGCAATCTTAGAACAGCGTTTCACTAGCAGATCTTCATTTTCTGGATGAAAAAGAAACTGAATAAAAACCTTTGCAAACATTAGGATAACTTTTTGCTGGAAAGGATCAAACAAGTGTTGTCTCTGTCGTTAGAAATCTTCTGTGGTGATCATAAATCTATGAAGAAAATAATCATATACTTATTTGTAAAACATATCTATTAAAAACAAACATTTAAAGCGTGAAGAAAAAATATTTTTATATATTTACAAATACTTGTTTACTTTAAATATAACTTAAACGAAAAAGTACCTGAAATGAGACTAAGCCAAAATAAAGTCGTAGAAACAATTTGAAATTGAGGAATGTGTAGTGTCAGATTACTGAACATCGATTGACACCGACAGTGACGCTTAGTGCACACCGATAGACTCAGCGTCACTGATCATTGAAATATCAAACAAACTGGCACTGACTCCACTGACCTCTCGTAATTAGTTGCTATATAATACTGCAAGTTATGTGCTTGAAATAAACAAACAGCAATCATAAACTAGATACACGTGGTTTTTCAAGAGAATCAATGGCTTTATATTTAGAAACGTGAAGAAAAATAATACATCTTCGTTCAAGAATTAGATAACACGTTATAGGTGAAAATAAAAGTAAATGCGTCTTTCAAAGATAAAGACAAATAAAATGAAAACGTAGTATAGAATAAAACACATATTAAAGAGAATCAAGTATAGATAGTAATAAACAAAAAAATATCTTCACAATAAAACAACTTTTTAGATGACAAGTATCACAAATACTAAATACAAAACAAGAAAATTAATAAAAACAAAACGGCTAAAAATCAGATCGATTTCAAAAGTTTTTTTGTCTTTCAGAAAGACACTTGACGAAAGTTTTTCACCTGTTAAACGGGCCCATTCTTTCCTACCTAAAAATAATGAAATACGAATGAGAATTATATTTTTTCGATATTACATAAGTCATATGAATGAATTTATCACTTCATTTTATGTCAGTCAGCTATTAATAATATTTGAAATTTATTTTTGGCATTAGTATACACCGGTTGGTGCTCATTTGCGCCTTTCTTCGAAGAACAGATCTTGAGAACAGCGATCAATAGGTTTTTTTGTGTGCAGTAACCTATGACGAAGCGTTATTAGATTTTTGTTAGTAAAATTATGTTTNACTCCACCTATAAATTAATAAAGTCAACTCCAACTCCACTCCAACTCTACTCCGAGTGAACTTAACTCCGCTCCAACTCTACTTATAGATTAATAAATTTAACTCCAACTCCACTCCAACTCCACTCCGAGTCAACTTAACTCCACTCCAACTCCACCTATAAATTAATAAAATCAACTCCAACTCCACTCCAACTCTAGTGAAAAAAAGTGGCAACTCCGAGTTGGAGTTGCCCATCTCTGCTACTAACCTCAATTTTGATGTAAACTATGCTATTCTATCACTACTGTTTTATCTACTTCACATAGAACACAGACTTAAATAGAAGAAAGAGAAGTAAAGATAAATGATCACATCACAAGTGAGCAATATAATTATCGGTACATTCAAGAGTTTATTTTTTAAGAAAATGACTTTTAAAACAGTTTCATGCAATGATTAGCAAAATTTGTATGTAGTATAAAATATTTTTGTTTATTTTTCAGGAATTTTCGAACTTATTCGATCATTTTCAACTATCAATTAACAAGACTATTACCAGTGTTACACGACAAAAGAAAGAAATGAATATATAGTAATATCTAGACCTGAACATCAATATCTATTACATCATAAACGATGGTAGGCATTTGACAAATTCATCAATTCACTTGGAAATTATATTATTCAAGCTTATGTGCTACTTCGTTTATGATGTAATAGATATTGATGTTCAGGTCTAGATATTACTATATATTCATTTCTTTCTTTTGTCGTGTAACACTGGTAATATAGTCTTGTTAATTGATAGTTGAAAATGATCGAATAAGATCGAAAATTCCTGAAAAATAAACAAAAATATTTTATACTACATACAATTTTGCTAATCATTGCATGAAACTGACTACAAAACCTCAAGATTCCATGAAATTCTTCTCATGAATAATAACTTTTAAAACGTTCATGAATATTCCTAGAAAAAGCTAATCTAATCGTTCTTCTGTTTATTTTCATTAGATTAATATACATCCATTAATCTTATCATTTCCCGTTAATTTTATATGTCTATCTCCATTATATAGTAGCGATTAGGGTCTTTCGTCCAAAATTTATTATTAATTGAGTCTATGATCCATAATTAGTGTAAATATAGGATATATAATTTAATTCATTAATTTTCATAAAACTAGAAAGAATCATAGCAATGTCAAAATGTTATCTTTGGATTGTTTATTTGCAGCATCGAAATTGGTCTTAATGAAAATCAAGTATTTTTATTTTCGTTAATTATTTCTATTCATCAAATTTTTTGTAATGCGAACACCTATCATAATACTTTTACTTATCATATAAATCAAACGTAAAATTAAACATAAAACTTTCTTCTTATCTACCCCAGAAATATTTTCTTAAGTAATAAACTAACAAAAGTCAGTTTTCGATCCGACCAGAGAAAAATATACGTGTATGCATCATAATCATAATAAAATAAAAAGGACAAACACTCTTTCTTTCTACCTAATAAGGGATCAATACATCAAATGGCTGTCACTGTCAATCAATTTGATCGTATAACAGATTGGTATTTATCTTTTCAATTAATATTGATGTGACGATAAATATATTTCCATTGAATCAGCAGTACTATCAAGAAACTATATTTATCCAAATAAATGTTATTTTGAATATACTATTTACTGTTTTCCATGCGTTATTTGATTAGGAGACAGTGATAAATTGATGTTATTGAACATAATAACATATTGAGAGAAGAAGATATCAATAGCAAAACTAACTCGTGATATGTCAGTTCCTTTGTATTGTAATTGAATTAAATATTCATTCATTGATCAAAGTTAATATCACATATATTTTTGATAGAGAAGTTTAATTTAAAGCAAAAGCTTTGAATCTTTCTTCTTGAAGATAGCTCAGTCAAATTCTACTTTGTAAAAACATCTATATTCAACTTCGAAATAATTTTGTATTAAGACAAGTACAAGAAATATAGTTAATAAAAATATTTTGTCCGTAGTTAACATAAAACCATCAGATTTTATTTTGATCTTGGAAGAATTATATAAAAAAGTTTTTTTCATTTAATCGTAATTGTTATTTATAGAATATGCTATGAAAGCTTAGATGTCGCTTCGAATCAAGATATTAATTATGCTGGTTTTTTTTTTTCTTCTCCTATCTCAAATCGATCGATCAAATCCTTTTTTAAAAAAGATGATAGATTTTTTTCTTCTAACTTATTCATAAATATTTAGTATTTAATGCACATAGGATATGCAGATGATTTTCTTTATATTTTATTTTGATGTAAATGAAGATAGAATATAGTACACAGTTCGTATGTTATTATCACTTTTCTTTCTTTACTTCGTCTACATGTTCATCGAGGTCTTATTCTTTTTTTTTTTTTCGTTATTTCTTCTATCTATTATCATTTTCTTAATGTACTTTTAACTATAACAACAACATTAAATCAAATTTAAGGCCATTATGCAACCAAAAATAATTACTTTTTATGAACGAAAATAGAAAAAAAAAATTAAGTAAAAGAAAAATCATTGCCGAATTATTATTTTAGATAAATATAAAAAGACTTTTGTTTTTGATATAAGACGAAGTAATGGGCGAGTAAGTGTGAATAGACAATTGTGAATTTTATTAAATATTTTTCATGATCGACTTTAGTCGTCAAGTATTTATTGGAAATTTATGTAATGTATCAAATGAAGCACTACGTACATATTGTGAAACATACGGTGCATTAACAGAATTAACATTAAACCGTGATAAAGAGAATAATGTAAATTTTTTTATTGTTTTCAATTTATAATATAATGTTTTTTTTTTTTTTTTTTTGTTAATATTCTAAAGGTTTATCATTGTTTTGCTTTTGTTACCTTTCAATATACTCGTAGTACAGCACAATTTATGTCTAGTCGACCACATTTTATTCGTGGTGAAGAAATATTTGTTAAACGAGCATTACCACGAGGAACTTCATCCGTACCTGAACGAATTATTGTTACTAATCGATTAGTTCTAAAAGATTTACATAAGTACGATAAATATCTTATTCGAAATTATTTTCAAAAATTTGGTTATATTAAAAAAATTGATATTAAGTATGGTTTTATTGATTATGAGGTTAGTCTTTTATTTTATTGAATAAAAAAAATAAAAATAGTAAATATCCTAGGATTATGATAATGTTGATCGTGTTTTACTTGCTCGACCACATTATATTCGAGATGAAGAAATTTGTGTAACTAAATTTGTTCCGTCTGAACAACAAGATAGTATAGATAATTATTATTTACGTTCAAATAATTACCGTCATCATCAATTAAATACAAATAATAATCGCCGACATTTAAATAAAAATGAACAACATGATCAAATAAAGAAAGCATCAATGGATACAATCAAATTTTCATCGACTAAAAAATTCGAACAAGATTCATCCAGAACTGTAAATGAATTTTCTATTGAATTGTTTTTTAAAATTTTTGTATTAATTAGGTATTGATCGATAAGCAATGTAATAATGATAACGATGATGAAGGAGAAGAAGGTGAAGAAATAAATTTTAATTATTTAAATATTCAATATAAACATCTTGAAGAAGAATTTGAAGAATATAAAAAAACAAAAGAAATTGAAATATGTGCTTTAAGAATAGATTTAGAACGTACAAAACGACAATTAACTGATATAACACAACAAAAACTTGATGTTTTATTAAAAAATCAAAAATTATTTCATAATGAATTATTACTTCGTCTATCTTCTAATGATACATCAATTCATCCACAAACAGCTGAAGAATTTTTTCATTCATCTCCAAATCCATTAACAAAGAAACGTAAATTAACAACATCATCACCACATCGTGAATATGAATATTATTCATAAGAAAAACAAATCATTATAGATTATTAGTAGCTTATTTTACTTGTGCCTTTGTTTTTTTTGTTTTTGTTTATATATATTCAAAGTTTTGTTTGAATTGTGATTGCACGCATATATTTATACATATAGTATACCTATTTATCTTTATATTTTCTTCGTTAGTTTTATTTTATTTGAAAGAACTTTTGTGATAAACTTGATATTTGATTTTTTTTTACTATATTCTTCTTTTACGAAGCAATATACTCAACGGTCAGACGTCATTCGACTTCATATTATGACCAGTGTTATCGATATTTTTTTAAGAGATTGGGGAATGGGAGCTAAGAATTTGGTGCACAGTTCAAAAATTCTATCAGAAAGTGCTTTCATCCTCGGAATGTTAGAAGTGATGGCCGGGGCGACCAGAGAGTAGAAACAACGAAATCAACTATTACCAAACTCCTCCCACAGCAGATAACTTGCCACTCGGCCGTTACTCCCAAACCTATTCACCTTCCGAAAACATTGTCTGCTTTTTTTTCTATTTCACTTTCTGTCAGAGAAAGACAAATAATGTTTCAAAATTTAGTTGCTGTCCAAAGTTACTATGTAGCGCTGAAAAAGTTGGCAAAAGTGTTAACAACTGTAGCAGAAAATAGAACATTTTGGGTCCTATCATCAGCCGCTCCCCTCCCCCCGCCCCGCTTTCTCCGCTTTATCGAGAAATCTGATTATGGCTACGAGTATATTTCAATGAAATTAAAACAAGCTTGAAAAGCTTCGAATGCATAGTCTTCCAATAAAGAGTTATAGATGGTTTAATGAAATTTTTCTTGAGAGCAAGGCATTTCTAAAAAATTCAAAATAAAGTGTTTCGGCCTAATATTGACCTGCAGGTAGATTTAATAGCCATTAGATCGCTCTAAAAGTTTTAACGAAAACGAACATGTGTTTGTCAAGATGTTCGATCTGAAGTAGACTCGATTAATGTGTCTGCATATGATCAACCACTGCATTTTTGGAAAATCTAATAGATATCTCGAGCAAGACATGTTCGTTTTTCTTGAACTTGTGGATTCTTTTGGATTTTTCGGCAATATCTTGTTCTCAGGAAAAATTTCATTAAAATATTCATTATTCTTTATCATTAGATCATGAGCCTGAATCTTTTTAAATTTGTCTTCGTGTCATAGAGACCTACTCATAGCAATAATATGAAGTCGAACGACGTTCGATAGTCGAGTTCGTTTTCTCGTCAGTTAGAATTAAATTATAAAAATTTAAATGTCGATCTGACAAAATTTATCAATTAATATCTTAACATACTCATTCTAAGCAATAAAAAGTTTTATTCCTTGAAAATTTCTAATATGTATAAAAACAAAGTGAAGCTTCTTTCAGAATGTTATGCAACTTCACTAAAATTTTCTAAATGCATGCTGAGAATTCTCATTAGCGGCATGTCTTTTTTTTTGCTTATTGTCAATTTCATTCAATCTATTGCATGAATCAAAATCAATGAAGCAAACAATTCTTTTTCTTCAACCATTGCATCAATCAAACAAAAAATATAACACCTCCGTTGTAGATGTCTTCTTTCGATTTCAATGATCTTATCATCATTTTGTAAAGAACACTTTTAAATGTTCAATTGCAATTCTTTTTTTTTCTCATTTTCATGTTGCATTTAATCTGACGTAAGAAGAAAAAAAACTATAGACAAATTAGAGTTTTGAGCTGTTAAAATGCCATAAAAGATATTTTCTTTTCAAGATTATTAAATGATTTTCTTATTATTTAAAAAAAGCTGCCTAATGACACTGAAAAGGTATGTTTTTTTTTAATGCCATTTAAAGGCTTCAGAACTCTACTGTCTTCAAATGAGTTTCTTAAGTGATAAGCAATTCTAGATGTTAGGTCAAACATTTTGAAGGAAACTTTACTCAGTATAAAATTAGCAACATTTGAAATATAATGGTTTCTTTTGAATAGAACAAAATAAATTATGAAAGAAGAAAGTCTAAGAGAATTTTTAGACTTCTATTTAATGATCTAAAAAAAATGTTTCAAATTAATTTTCTTGTTATATTTTATTATACATTATACATCTACTAAAACATGATATTCATTCGGCTATTAGTAATCAACTAAATCAAACAAGTTCTCAGCTGAACTTATACACATTGAAGTTTTATTTTCACTATTATTTACTTTAATAATACTTTGTTAAAATAGATTCAGTCGAATGTATAAAAAAAGTGAAATTATAACTTTTTTTTTTTTTATCTGTTTTAATGATCTTTGATAATATCACTACGATCGCCATATACGCACTATGATAATCATTGATAGGGTAATAAATCTCGAAAACGGATAAAATTACTATATCAGATAAAACTTTTTATTCTAATCACAGTAGAAATTTTCTATATAACTATAATTTTAGAAAATGATATTTTTCACAAAAAATAACTAAATATTTTCATCAAAGAAAAATAAACTTCATAATTTGAATTCTATATTATTCTACTTAAGCTAACTATATTCATATTTCTTTCGAACAAAAAAATTTCTACTACATAAATATACCTTCATTTGAATATGTTGAATAGTAAAGAACAAATAAATGAAATGTTATTATTTGAATTGAAGCTGTTCAACTACATCAGCATTTTAAATTTCTTATTCAGTATGATTTAATACAAATATCCAAAACGAAAATCTTCCAAATTCGATTAAAATAACAATTATTTCTAACACTTTATCTCGTTCAAAAAAAAAAAAAGAAAACATCAAAAGTCTATCGGCATCTATAAGCACCTTTCATACATAATACAATACGGTTCATTGTCTTCAAAAAAAAAAAATATTCCATCTCCGCAGGATACTAAATTCAATATGTTTATTCATTTCATTTCTTCTTTCGTTTTTGACACATCCTCTTCAATGAATGAAACAAGCCAATTGAACTCTAGGTGTAGTTTGTTTGCATTATGTATTTTTTACAGACAATAATAAAAACACAAAAATATCACACATACTGTCAAATAAAACAAACGAAATCTAATCTCGTTTTTTTTTTTTTTCTTTCTTTTAGATCATTTTTAACCATTTCGATTGCATAGAAAACAAATCAAATGATGATGGACGTTTTTTTATCGAAAGATCAAGTGGACTATCTGACGATGATAATTTTGGAATAAGTTTTTTAAATATTCGTTGTCGTTTTGGTTTTAATGGAGGTATTGATGGACATATTTCACCAAATTCCGATGTTATTCTATCAATTATTGATTGATCATTAGTATTCGATTCAACAATATTATCAATTAAAAAAGATGAATAATGTGGTGGAGATGGTGGAGTTAAAAGATTAACAATTGACATTGGATTTGACGATACAATAGGTGATATAGATGTTGATGAAGATGGTGAATGAGGGGGTGTTGGAACTAATGGACATGTTGATAATGTTCGATTGATTGTTTCACGTCGAATTATTGTTGGAGAAAATGATGAAGCATTTTTTATAGGTGATGATGGAGACGGAGATGAACATAAACAATGACCAAATGATGTTATAGTATTTATCATTGTAAAACGTAAAGGAATATATGACGATGATGAAGATGATAATGATGAAAGATCTTTTAGACGAATAGAATCATTCAATAATCGATCATTTGAATCATAAATTGATACCTAGTAAAAGAAAAAAAAAAAAACAATAATAATCAATATATTTGATTGAATACTTGAATGAAATTCATTTGTTATTATACCTGTGTCATCGGTGAATGAGGTAAGACTTTTTCAATATATGAACGAAGGATACGAATAGGCATTGAACCTTGACATTCAAGATAACGACGAGCAAACTATAAAAGAATATTGAATAAATAAAACTTAGAGAGAAAAAAAAACGAACATACTTGAATAGTTGCATGATCACTAGTAGATGATTGTGGACAGCTAAAAGAAATTTCTTTTTTTTTTTGTAATGTTTTATGACAAAAAAAAAAAGAATAGTTTGATTTACCTGCATTTAGTGTCTAAGTCGATATAAATATTTTCTTCATTTTTTGTATTTTCTATTAAATATAAGACATATCGAATGAATGATATTAATAGAAGATAAAAAATCTCTTACTTTTGTGAGGTTTTGCTCGTCGATTCTTCATGACGTGTTGTCCTGTCAGGGAAGAACGAGAGAGAACGTGTCTGTGTGTGTGTGTGTGTTTGTCAGTGAAGGAGAAGAAATGAATGAATGCAATGTGCGTGTGTGCGTGCGTTCGCTTCTCTTTCTTCCTTTTTGCCCTTTCTTTTTCTTCTCAAGTGAGAACGATAGATAGAAACTAAAATGAAAGATTAGATCGATGACCAATAGAAAACTCAATGCTCTACTTGTTTTATCCAATAAAACAACTGCAATTATTTTTAGTTATGATAGTGCTGTCTGTCCTGTCCTGTCCTGTTTACTCTCGCTTCGTCTAATGCATACATATGTGTTTGCCCGCTTGGTCTCAACCCGTCTCGTACATTCAACTGAGTAATGCGACGAGAAGAAAAAGAAGAAGAGAAAAGAAAGAAAAAAGAAAGAAACAACTCTATATTCGCATATTTGATTAGGTCTATAGTGGGACAGAACAGAGAAAGATCGAGTAAAGACAACGAATAAGCTTTGTATTTTGTTTTCTCTGGCCTTTGGCCGAAGGAAATGACTAATGACGTCAATGTGCAACAGATGATGTTTCCTATTCGCCCATTAGTTTTTTTTTTTTTTTTTTTTTTTGTATGACGATGATCATTCTTTTATCTTTTCTCGTCTATCAATTGAGAAAGAGAATCACGGAAGAGTGTGAAGAAACGGAAGATTGAAAGAGAGAAAAATTAATGTATGTCTCATGTAAATGTTAATTACATAGTAGGGACAGCGAGAGAAATTCTTTCATGCTGTTCATCATCTATATGTATAAAAGAATAGATAGGAAAAGTTAACAAAAAAAATTAAACATTCTCAG